ATAATAATAATAATAATAATAATAATAATAATAATAATAATAATAATAATAATAATATGCCTTCATTTTCATATCAAAATATGAAATATTTTGAAATATATATATTATATATTTCAATATATATTTTATTTTTTTATATGAAAAGTGTAAGTGATATAATGAAAATAATGTTAATTTAAAAGTTGTTATTGCAGCATTTGTTATAAATTGATGTAGATATACTAATTTTGATATGATAGATAAAAAAATAGTTTAAACTTTTTCTTTAATAGCTGAGGAAATATAAACAAAACAAAATTAGTAATTGAAGAGTTTAGTTTCTTTTATTATTAAACCCATAGTAATAAAAAAATTAATTCGTGATATAACACAGCATCAAATATAGCGAAAAACAGGTTTTTCGTACTTTTGGGTTAGGTTATCTCTGGGACCTGATGTGATGGAGCAATTCTGAAGAGTTCAGATTCGGATTCAGCATGTCGAAAAGTTTCGGGAAAATATAATCTCGTTTCTGGCTTAGAAGAACAGTCACATTTTGTCGGCCGTTGTATACCCGTTTACCAACCATTTAAACAGGAATCGAGAAAATAGTATATATAAATGCAAGAAACTATGTATTTAGTTTACTCAAAATTAAAACGGAGTGTTGTTTGGACAAACTAGAGAAGAAAAAAAGATATATTTAATGTAGTTGTTATGTTTTTCTTCAGAACATTGAAATTCTTCAAACTACTGCACACATATATAAATTATATTACTAATTAATTAATTGGGTAATCAACTGATCAATAATTCAACCAACTAATTAACAGAGACAGGTATGATGATTCTAATTAACAGTTCAATTAATCTATAAAATATTAATGAGGGGGGCTCCTCAAGGATGGGTAGTAATGAAAGAAAACATAGAATTAATAGTGCCGACTTCCGAACCTCTCTATAATTACCCCCAAGAAACGTAGCTAAGTTATTCATGCACCTTAATGTAGCGTAACGGTTCCATATGTCAATTCTCGTTAACTGTTCGGATACATTACCGGGTAACGAGCGGTACAGGCTCATTTAAAATTGCTTATTGCCTCCAGGGAGCACTATCGACCTGAGAACATTTCAATTCAAAGACAAGTTAGTGAACGTCTAAGCAGATAAGCCGTATCAATTCGCTAGGGGCGTATAACGAGATTTGATGTACTCGATAAAGTTTTAAAGTTGTGCGCACTTTTTTAAGTGGTTAATATCCCACTTTGTGGCGAATGAAAACAAAGGAGAAAATCCGTTCAGGTCGTTATACAAGGTGTGGGAGCGATGTTTGCCATAAGTTAATTCTCGTTAAAATAAATAAGAATATTTTTTCCTAAAACGATTCCTAAATTACCTTTAAAAGTAGTGAGATGCACGTGATACAGTACTCTTCCAGTATTGTTGAAACATTTTCAATAAAGCTGCCTTCAAATTTCTTTAGCCCCTTTCCTACTAATTATTTGTGTTTCTTGAGCAATTTTCATAAATACACTGTCTGCAATTTGAAATTAAAGAACCGTAATAATGTTACCACCATAATTAAAGGGCCAAAGATGATATCCAATTGTTATGTCCAAATGATTCTACAATTCGAGCAACATAATTATACCAGGTTTCCGTGTAAATTATTATCAATGGTTGAACATTACCAGGTTGGTTACCAAGTTATCTGTTTAGGGTCCTTTGTCCTTTCGAGAGAATATCGCTCCCTTCTTCAGAAAGACCTCTACAACTGGAGATTCATACCTCTGACCTATATTTTCTGTGTGGTGGTCCATGGTGTTCCAGTACAGATCTTGGTTTGTGATGTTTTGGTCTCCAGTTTTTTCAAATTCCTGGTGGTTTTGAAGAATTGAAGAATTTGATAGCCTTTTTGAGAGTGACAATTAAGAATTAGTTTATCGATCCCTAAAGAGATATGAAAAGCATGCAATATCTTATGGAGATATATAAAACGGATATATTATATATTACGTATTATATATTTCAGGTCTTTCATCTCGATGGATTCCTTTTGGAACAGTTGGAGGTGAGGATGAATCCACAGGTG